TCAAGTTGTCTTTCTTCTTCAAATCTGCTCTATAGGAAATCTCTTGAGTTTGGCACTTATTCTTCCAAGCACCCTTTTCCTGTTGCATCCTGACCAAAGAAAGATGCAGCTCTTCTAGATCATCTAATAGGGGAGGAGTGGTCTTCACAAATAAATCAGGCATAGGTGTTTCTCGGGAATACGGAATCTTCAACTGAATGGCTCTCGTTTGGACCCACTGAAGATATGGCTCTAAAGAAACAGCATTCTTAGGTCCCAAGTCTTTCCTACTCTTCTTATAAATGTGACGTCAGGCCTTCGCAATCTGCTCCCTAGATTCCCTAAGGTCTTCTCCCTCCTTCAGAAAGAAACTACTCAAATGAATACTATTTGGTTTATCCCTCATCGAATAACCGAGTTGTCGTCGTGCAAGAACAGAATTATAGTTAATTCATCCCTTTGTACCAAGAAGAGGTACATTGGGGAAACTACCACAACTGTCAACAATCTCTATATCCTGGTAAGCTCGATGATACCAATCAATATCCGAGTGAGCAAGTGTCATGATCTTAGGAGCCCAACGAGGTTCCTTCCTGACATCCCAAAATGCATCAGACTAAGGCATATGAGAGATAAATCACCGTTACAACAAAGGTGTGCAATAGATAACCATCCCCCCATGATAAGAATTCTGAAGATGAATGGAGTAATAAGTATCACCCAACAACGTAGGATCTAGGTTTCCAATCATGAAGACCTTGATAGCATTAATGTCAACAGACATGTCCACATTAGGAAATAAGAACAACCCGTAAGCAAGTAGAGCAAAGATGGTCTCAAAAGCGACTGTACTCTTCATCCTAGAAAAGTAACGAGCTTTCTCCAATAAGAACTGAGCTGGTAATACCCTAATCCCTCCTTTAGTAGTCATATGGGCTTCAACCTCAGACTTCCCCAGATGGATCAAAGCAGCAATCTCATATGATTTTGGCTCATCCTCCAAGCCAGTAAAAGAAACATGATCGGTAACAGATAAATCCAACAGATAAGAATACTCCTCTAGTGTAGGCATCAACTGATAGTCGGGAAAAGTAAAACAATGATACATCGGATCATAGAACTGGACCAAGGTCGAGAGGAAACCTCCCTTCATCCTAAGCTTCATGAGAGAAATGATGGATCCATACTTGTTCCGAAAATCTGCAGAATACTCGATCTCGGGAATTAGACTGATTAACTTATCTATCTTGGGATACTTAAAACTGTATTTCCCGGTCTTTCTTTTCCTAGAATCCATGGTTACCCAAGACATTCACAAATGGTCAACTTTTAAATCCCTTGAAATGATATTTCTTCAAAATATGCTTATGAGTGCATGGATGCATGATGCAACAATCACACACAAGATCACATATATAGGGTTCATAGGTTCAACGTCACGAGCATGAGGTCGAAGGTACTACCCATAAGGTATGGTCTAAAAGTTATCATCTGCCGAACAAGGTTCTAGAGGTTCCCAAAGTCTAAATCCTTCCTTCGGATATTACCAACTTCCCAATTAACTCGATAATTAGTAATATTCTCAAGAAAAACTCGTCCGAGCATAGCATCGCGTGACAACTATTTCCGGATTACTTCGTCATAGCTTTCGCACTACACCTAAAAGGCCAAGATGGGTTTGTTATTCTACGGTCCTCAATTTCAGCAGGCTCCCAGGTCAAAAGCAATATGTCTTCCCGATTACTCGGTAGACGACACTACAGTCAAAGGGGCCTCCACTGAGTGGGGGATCTCATGCCTCCTTTTTTGGGATTACTCCCTCAAAGTTAACATGACTATACCGCCCGTCCTATCTTAAAGTTTGCCCAAGTCCAAGTATAAGACTTATGAGTAACCACCAAGTACCCTGAAAACTAGGAAAATCCAGATAAACATATATACAACATATAACACATAAACAACAATAGCATATACACAGATATAAACAAATATAGGCTCAACCCACTTAGGGATGGACCAGCAAGAGGTTAATCTTTCTCCAGTGAAGTCGCGATTTTTCTGTAGTGATAGAAATATTTAAAACTAAGCCATTGGATTGACTAGACTTATACATATCAAAAATAAAAATCGCTACCGCACTTTATTGTTTCCAAAGGAATGGGAAAAGAGCGAATAAACCAAAAAAGAGGAGGAAATGTCCAAGGTAAGGGAGTTGGTTATGTAAAGGGAATGTATTAGCACCCTAAACATCTACGGTACTCCGCATGAACCTCTTTATAAAATCTGTATATTTTTTTATATATAAAAAAATGTTGTATATAAATAGATGGTGGAGGTGAGAAAAGAAGTATTTTTTATGATTTTTGCATCCGTTGCGGTTGCGAACCTTTAGTGCCTACGTATCACCTTCCGTGCAATAGAGATCATGGTACTAGTTCCTCTTTAAAAATTTTAAAACATAAGTGTGTTGGTTAATTTTTATGAGATAAGATATTAATATCATCGTCCGTGTGGAAAACATACTTACTACCCACAATTATGAGGAAGGAGAATTTACATCATCTCAAAGTGGAGGATATGGCTTGGATTTTAAAATCAACAATGCTTCACTCAACACCCAAGTGGAAAATATCTCACTTCACTACATATTGTAGAAGTATAGTTGTTTGCATCACTACAAGGATTGACAAGAGTCTAATCTTTTGAGAAAAGTTTAAAGTAAAAGTCAAAGTGGCAAAAATGGTTTTAAATGAGATTGATTGACTTTTAGTCTTCCCACAAAAAAAAAGTCAAGGTATTATTAAGTTGATTGAAGTTTATTTATGAAAAGGTTTTGAAAATGCATGGACCTAAGTCCAAGTTTATTACGAAAGTGTTTCAAGTTTAAAAACAAGAATAATTTTCAAAAGGAGAGAGAAGATTTTTGAAATTAAAGAAGATGGGAGGAGAAGAAGAGACTATCCTAAAGCATAAGATAAAAGCTAGGGATAAGAACCATCTAACCAACAAGAAGCCAATACTGGACATTATGAGTCAAGATAGAATTCTCATTCTTTGGATTGAAACCAAGCAAGCAGAGATATTAGACCTCTTGAGAGAATCAAACTTCAAGTGTATTAAGTCTTCATAAAAAATTGGGCAGAATAACGACTGTATACGGGTGAATTCTAGACTACAAACAAAGTATGTAGTCACCATAACCTGCACACACAAAAAACAAACAACCCAATGTCTTGAGGTAAAACTCAAGAACTCTAGACAAAATATCAATTAAGGTCATAAGGCCTTCAACATAGGCCAAGGTCTCTAATCCTAAGTCCAAGAAGTCCAATACTCCATAATGCCAAGGATAGTAACCAAACAGTCCAAATATCATTAAAAAAATTTATGGTTCATATTGATTATTAGGTATCTTAGAAGAGAAAATAAAAGGCTCAAGTGAGCAAAAAAATAAAAAATGACATGAAATGTAATGCTTAAAGTAAATGGTACATAAAGCATAAAAAATAATTAAAAAATGGCATAAAGTAAAAACAATTTAATAATTAGTGGTTAGTTGGATGACCATCTTGAAACTTGCATTTGGAACTCATTAGAGGATTGGAAGAACCAAGGCCTCCACACAACAAGTTACATTTGCTTTTTGTCAAGTATATCATCCATTTGGAATCCTCAAAAGTATCATTTAATGATCAATGATGTTTAAGTGATCCGCGTTGACCAAAAGTGTTGTAGATCCATTAGAGGATTGATAGAACAAAAGCCTCCACATAATGAATCTCAAGGTTATTGGATAAAAGAGATCAAATTAACATACTTGGGCTTGAAAACATAGGTTTGGGCCACGAATAATCATTTATTCGAATCAAGATAAAATTTAGCGCTATGTTAAACAATCGTAAGTGGAATTATGTAGAAGTCGCACCTATTTTGAGGCCGGTCAATAGCAATCTATGCACTATTTGTTTTGAGACATGATATAGAGATCATGCTCCAATAACACTTAGTGCAATGAGAAAGGGACAAGATGAAGAGATGTGGGAGAGACCATACATACCACATTTGAATTAAATTTAAATCAAACTATTATTAAAATCATTCATCCACTTTTGTGGAGTTGGACTCAACACCATGGATTCAATGATGTTAATAAAATTTCAAAGTTTTCTTCAAAAGTAACCTATAATGTTTTGCATCCAAACATGGTCTTCCACTTGAAATTTTCTCTTGACCAAAAAAGATGGCATGAAATAGACCTCTTGAATGACATTTTGAAACTTGAACCATTCAAAATCTCAAAAAATTGAGAGAGTTATGAATTGTTGAAGTTGGAAAAAAAATATGAAATCGCCTATAATCTTTTGTAACCTTAGGGCATCTTCCATCCATTTTCTCACTTTTCACATAAAAGAAGGCATAAAGTTCACCTCCTCAAGATCATTATGGAAAAATAATGGTTTTAAGGTGATAAAAATTGGTCAAGTTATAATCATTTGAAGTCATATATGAGAAATTTGGGGTTCATCTGGAGGACTTGTAATCTTTCTTCATCATCAAGTTTCTTTCACTTGAAAACTCCTTGAAACTTTTGAAGTGATTTGTTTATAACTCTTTGAAGAGAAGGATGTCTTTGGAATCACTCAAAAATACCAAAAGATGAGCAAGATATACTTCTTTGAAGTTCAAAATCCTAGCTCTTAGATCAAGAAAATACTTTGAGAAACCTTGATAATTTTGAACAATCTTCTTGAATCAACATAAATGCTTTGTAAATAGAAGTTGTTGAGGATGAAAATGAGAATTCATAGCCACCAAAACAACTTCCATATCTTGAGAATTTAGAGAAATATGCACTTGTGATCAATGGGAACAAGGCCTTGTCCAAGCATGACAACTTCTTCAATCAACCCCTTGTACTTTTGGATCAATCTTGATATCTTAGAATGTAGTGAACCAAAATAACATTTCCATGCCATTTCTTCCAAAAAAAATCCAATGGTGAGGTTTGAACTTCTCAAGCTTTATTGACTAGGGCGTGGAAATAAACTCATGAACCCATGGAGCAACTTGTTAAATCTCATTGCCTTTACCTACATAAGTAACAAGTAAGACAAACCAACATTGCATTTTATTAATTAAAATAAGAAATCAAGACAAAAATATTCATGTTCACAAAAGAACACAAGTCAAGGTGCTTGGTGATTCCTCAAAGAGCAAAGCTAAAGATAGGGAGGGGAACCAAGAATCCTAATGTGATCTTGTTCTTGGTCCTAATGTGATCTTGTTGTGACGGAATCAACATGGTATGATGAGGGGATCTTAGGGCAAAAATTAGGGTACACACTCATGGTATTTTATTGAATGTGAATGTATGCTATGTAAATGACTTAATGGAACATATGCATATGATGATGAAATGTAAGCCAGTTAGGGTAAGAATGAAGAGGGCAAATTTCAGGGTACAACATATAGCATCTATAAGCCCATCTTCTACAATTCTCCACCACCTCTCCAAATGGAATCTTTAAGCCCATTTCCGATATAATCAACCAACAACGTCACTTTTTGCACCGACAAGTGCAAATTTCTAGGCACTTAGGTGTTCAATCATCTTCTACCTTCAAGTCACGAATGGCGGACATGTCAATCTAACTCTTTAGGTTTAAGAAGATTGAATAGGGGAAGATGTTGTACCCCAAAATTTTCCCTCCCATTTTTTTCAAAACATGCTCACAAAGGCCTCAAATACTCAATGCCACTCAAGAGTTGACTGGTCAAACCTCCTCCTCAGCAAGGGTCTTCAACTAGGATTTGGTGTTTCTCAAAGAAGATTGGGTTGCAAGAGTCTCAAATGACTTTCATGGTTCATCTTAGGTCCTCAATAATGCTTATGTCAAGTTTCAAGTCTTGCATCACCTGTTTGCTCAGTCAATGGCTCAGAAGATTGAAAGTCAGTTGTATTGGGCAAAAAGTCAACTATGGTCAATATACAATCAAACTTCAAGATTTTTTGTCAACATCAACATTTTGAGGTGATATTCATCATTTGATCAAGTTTTGGTCATGATTCCTCAAGGAAAGCCCTCAGATCATCAAAGGCCAAAAATTACCAAATTAGGGTTTTGATTGAAGATGACTGATCATTGACTTTTGGCCTAGTGCATGACCTAATGGATTAAACCATGATCTCAAGGGTTCAAATACAAAATCTTGACCCAATTACGTGGCTCAAGACATCTCAAAGATACAAGTGATTGATAGTTGAAGAATTGAATCCATTGAATGAAAAGTCAACAGTCACACAAAAGTCAAACTTTGACTTTTTGGTCAACATTGTAATTCAAAAATCAAGGATCATCAAAAAATTCAAAACTATCAAACTTTGTCATCAAGAATCAATAGAATCAAGAAAGTCAACAAAAGTCAAAATTGAAGATTTTCAAACACTTAGAAAAATTCAAGTGTTTTGTGCCTAAAAAACCCTAACTTCACAAGCAAGTTTCCTCAAGATACAAGCTGATTCAAGGAAAACTTTCAACATAAAATTTGTAGGGATTAATGAATTCTACAACTTTGTTAATGTGGGATGATCCTAAAAAAATTCTTAATTTAAGAGATATGAGCCCATGAAGTTGTGATATTTTTTATCCAACACTTAGAAAAATGTTTAACAAGTTTTTATCAGTTTTTTATCCCAACTTCTTGGCTAATTTTCACCAAGTTCCCATTTGATTCAGTCAAAGTAGTCAACGTGAAAGTTGTAGATCTTGATTCAAGCTTTCCAAAATGTCCAAGAACACAAATTTATCATACTTGAGCTAGGAGATTCGAAGAGTTGAAGTTGGCATTTCATTCTTTAATTATAGGTCATTTTTGTGATGAACTCATAATTAAATCTCATAACCATGCCTTGTAATCTCACTTTGCAGGCCTTTAAACTCCTAAATATTGCCATAATCAGAAGATTACACACTCTTGTTAGCTATTATCCAAGTATTCAAGCCATTGTCCAAGTGATCATTCCATTAATGGCACAAAGGCACCATTGCCATTTTCATAAAGTAAGTTTTAATCACAAAGTCAACTTCTTGAGCTCCCAACTTGTTTCATCTGATTACAAGTAATCTCAAAAGCAAGAAGCGAGCTCCCTGTACCCAACAAATCTAGAGAACACTTGTACTTCTCCATTTGAACCACCATTTTCACATAAACTTGGTTTTTCACTTCCAACCAAGCTATAACTTGTTATCTCAAGATTCTGGTTACTTCAAACTCTCAAACCTCTTGCCTATAAATAAAGAGGTCATTTGCAAGCCAAAGGACGGATTTCACAACCCTAATCACTCCTAAACACTCTTGTATTCATAGTTGGCATTTCAAGAACTCCATTAAAGCTTGAAACCAAATTCTTCGAATCTCCCATTCCCAACAAGTTTCTTGTGAACTAAGTATTCATACATCATCTCTACATCATACTTAAGCTTTTGTATGCATTAGTTTGTCACTAAAATATCCTAAACACTTCATCCAAACCAAGACAAAACACCTCTGCAACTTAACTTGTCCATAAGAGTTAAGGCACTCTTAATCCAAGGTAGGTGTTGCAAAAGCTTCCTGGAAGTTCAGTGAAGCTATACAAATCATCTTAAGACCTCCATAAGTGCTATAACTTCAAACTCGATTCTCACTTCAAGAGGTAAGTTTCTCCAACTTTGAAATCTTGATACAAGCATCATTTGCATATACATTCTAAAGGAAAAATATAGATATCATGTCTACGAAGCTAACCGTGTCCTTAAAATTCATTTTAATTGATTGTGTGATGAGAATTTTGGAGTTGAGTTTTCTGAAATGTTAGGGTTTCAGTTTGGTACCAAACAAAATTCGTTTCAATCTTTAATATATAGCTTTTGAAATTTATATGGTTGAATTCCTTGTCAAAAATCAAGCAAGTTTTGTTTTGGAAGTTTTTAAAATGGATGAGAAATGAGAGTTTTAGGAATTCAATAATGGTATTGTTGTCCGTTAGTGCGCGAGAGGAAGAAGAATATGGTGATCCGGCCATTTCAAATTTTCAAAAAACCAAGGTAATGAAGATGATAAGCCGATTGAGGTGAAAGACGTTCATAAAACGAATGATGTTTTGATAAATTATGGACAACAATTTTAAAATGATAAAAGTTACACTCCTCGTCAATGTCGTAATCGGCAAAAAATAACGAGTCACCACTATTAATTTTTGTCCTAAGGACGAGAGAATAATGGGTAACCCTAATTTGTATAATGATTCTAAATTCGTGAGTTGGTTAGATAAAGGGAATGTGCTAGGCACCCTTTATCTCCCTTGTTCTCAAGGGGCTCCTATTTTAGGTCGTAGGATAAGTCGGGAAATTTATATTCAAAAGCGTGTTATTATCAATTGCATAAGAAAATGTTTAATTTTTTAAATAAGGGACTCACCTTAGTTTTAACTGCGTGCCTACGTATCCTCTTGCAAAGAAATTAGAGTCAGTTTCGTAGTTCATATGTTTGGTTAGTGTTTTTTTATAAAATTGCATAAAATTGCTTTCGAATTATCTTTGAACCTTGTCTGGGGTTGAAAAATGAGTGGTCGTTGACGCATTTCGAAGTTAAGTTTGAAAACAATGTTATTTAATCTTTTTTTGAAAATATCTTGAATTTTGTTAAGTGGGTGAAAAAATGTTTTTTATTGGTTAGCTGCTTTGAATTCGATTTATGGATAATGAATTGATCTTTATTGGAATTAAATCGTGTTGAGCGAAGAAATTATTTTTATAAGGAGTTTATCCTTATTAGAATTAAATCGCGTGAGACGGAGAAATTCATTTTGGTTTGCTGGTGAATTTTAGATGTTTTTATTTGAATAATTAATCAGTAACCGTTAAGTCGACACGTTAATTGCTCGAGGATATGAAATCCTTTTATTCACCAAAATATTGAAATTATGTACAAGAGTGATTAACAAAGATATTTTTTACATTATTTAGTAGTAATTAATCAAGACATAAAAACAAACTAAGTAAAATAAATAAATCTAACTAGGCAGGGTGCAAAGAGAAACATAAGGTGTAAGTTAGTAAAAGTATTAGTAACATGAGTAAAATCCATGATAAGCCCAAAAGGGTCCAAACCAAATAAAAGCCTTTCAGTTTTCTTTTCTTTTCTTTTTTCAATTTTAAACCCCAAACAAACTCAACAATAGCAATACATCTCACACACAAAAATTGCAGAGAGAAAGAACTTACCTCCCTTACGAAGAGGATGGCCGGCGGAATCGTCGCGCGGAGGTACATCCGATAACGATGGTGTGGATTTTGTGTCGTCGGTTTCGCGGCTGAGTGTCTGTGGATATGCAGAACGCGTGGCTTGGAGGTTGGAGGCGGATCTGTGGATGGGTTTCGGCGGCGGCTAAGGCGTCGGAGGCTGGCCATGACGACTCGGTGTCGGTGTTGATCTGAAGTGATGGTGGCTGCGCGGATTGAGTGGAGGTTTGTCAGTTGCCCGCAGCGCCGGTGGGGTTGTTGATGTCGGCGATTCAGCCGCGAAAGTGAAATAAAAATTAATTCAACAACTCATATCTTTCTTGGTCACTAATCTGACTAATGAGAAGTTAAGTATGATTCCTATTGACACCAATTGACCAATGAAAAATAGTTAATCAGAAAAAGAAATATTTTTTTGTATTTATTATGATTTTTGTATTATTTTTTGTTAAAAAAATGTATAAAATCAAATAAATAATTATTTTTTAAAAACATATTAATTAAAAATACGAAAATTAATATTAAAATAATAAAAAAAATATAATTTTGTGATTTTTGAAAATAATTTAAAATGAATAAAAAGAAATATTTTTTGTATTTATTATGATTTTTGCACTATTCTTTGATAAAAAATGCATAAAATCAAATAAATAATTATTTTTTTAAAATATATTAATTAAAAATACGAAAATTAACATTAAAATAATAAAAAAATATAATTTTGTGATTTTTAAAAATAATTTAAAATGGATAGAAAGTTAGTAACAAATAACAGAAAAATAACTAAAGTGTAACATGTGAGATTTAAATTCATGACCTTATACTTACGGGTATTTACTCCATCCAAATTGTGCTATCTTGTTTATTTAAAAAGAAAAAAAAAAGCATTTGAAAGTATATGAATGTCAAACAAATATTTGTTATTTAAAAATACAAATAATTTAAAATAAACTATATATATATATATATATATATATATATATATATATATATATATATATATATATATATATATATATATATATATATATTAAACAATCAATATAAAATCCAAAATTTTATTATAAATAAACCAAAGAAATTTATAAAATCAATTTTGAAAATTATTTGACCGTAGAAAATAAGGCGGACAAATTTGGGGTAAGATAGTTAACATATGATTGAATGGGTTCAAATGGAAGCTAGCAAATTTGAGTTCGGCGTTGTGATGGAAAGGTCCGACAATGGGACTAGTAAAAGGCAACTATTTGTTGTGTTGACATGCAAGAGAAGTAAGAAATATGTTCCAAAAATTCGAAAGATAAAACATGATGACACGAGATCGAGGAAATGTGAGTATCCATTTAAATTGCACGGTTATTATAAGATGGATGATTTATGGCGGTATAATGTCATGTCCGGTATGCTTAATCATGTGTTGGACATGAAGCTACACAGGCATCCAATTGTATGTCGGCTTAAGATGGTAGATAAGAAATTTATTTCAAAATTGTCGTTGATCAAAGTTGCGCCGAGAAACATACTTGTCGGTTTGAAACGGAATAAACCGAAATATGTTTCAAATATCAAATCGATTTACAATCATCGTTATAAACAACGCGTTACACAAAGAGGTCCGAGGTATGAAATGCAATATTTATTGAAATGTTTGGACAATAACCACTACGTTTCGAGGTACAGAGTTTGTGTGGTTAGTATTCGTGACATTTTTTGTACTCATCCAGAAAGTATCAAGTTATTTAACACATTTCCAACCGTCCTTATGATTGATTCGACATACAAGACCAACAAGTATAGACTTCCACTTCTAGAATTTATCGACGTTACATCTACGGATAAGACATTTTCGATTGGATTTGGTTTTTTGGAATGTGAGAAAGAAGACAATGTTACTTAGGCGTTGGGTATATGCAAGACTTTGTTGAAGGATCCATAAAATATGCCTAAGGTCATTGTTACCGACCGAGATAACGCACTTATGAATGCAGTTGGCACTGTCTTTCCTTCGTCAACCGCATTACTTTGTCGGTATCATATAACAAAAAATGTGAGAGTACGGCTAAAACCTGCAGTTGGCACCAAAGAAAAAGGGTGCGGACGGAAACATAATCAAATCCGGTGTTGTGGTTGAGAAGATAATGGATGCATGGACTGATATTCTTATTCTACTACCGAAGAGTTGTATACTGAGAATGTGGTACACTTCAGAAACTTATGTGTCGAGTATCCCGATTTCTTGAAATACATTGAGTCTACTATCCTTCATGAGGTGAAATAGAAAGTTGTATGTCAATTGACGGACCAGGTTAGACATTTGGGTAACGCAACAACTAATAGATTGGAATCTGCACATGCGACATTGAAGAAGTGGTTGAGTGATAGCAAGGGTGACCTTTATAGAGAATGGGAGACGGTGAACCAAATGCTCCAAAACCAACATAATGAAATTCAAACAATGTTTGGTAGGAGCAAAACTGTATTAGAACACCGTTTCAAAGGAAACACTCTATATGCACAGTTAGTTCACAACATATCTTGAGCGGGTTTGAATTTCATATATCATGAAGAGAAGCGATCGAAAATGACAGGGTCAGATAGTTTGAAGTGTGGGTGTACAATTAGAACGTTTTACGGGCTTCCATGTACTTGTGTTATTTCTATAAAAAATTAAGCTCAATTTTTCCATACGTATGGATGAGGTTTGCACTCATTGAAAAAGACTTTGTTTTGATGACTATGAGCCGGTAAAGGAAGGTACATCCAACATAACCATCACAACTGAGTTGGAAGTGATAATAGATAGATTTTCTAAAGTTGATGACTCTATGCAATTGCACATCAAAGAACTTTTAAGGAAAATTGTGTTTCAGGAAATCGTCGATTTGAAACCTCAATCGCAATCGGTAAAAACAAAAGGTGCGCCTAAAAAAGCAAAAAGTTCTCAGGGTGACGGTTCAACAAAGCGGACTCCTTCTTACCATGAAGTTGTTGATTCAATATTCCCGGATTCTCCAACCCCAAAATCCAAAACAAGTGTTAACAAAGGAGCTCGCGTTTCTAAACCACCTCGTACACCGCCTATTATAAAACAACCACAACCACCATCGATTATCTACATTGATGAGATGCCGCTTTTATGCACAAACACATTGAACGAATCATGGATGTGGGGAGTGATGGTAATTGTGGGTATCGTGTCGTGTCCGGATTACTTGATAAAGGAGAGGAAAATCACATTCTTGTGCGCCAAACACTTATTTCGGAGTTGACGGTGCATAATAAACTCTACACTCGTCTATATGTGACCACGGAGAAATTTAATAAAGTTCATTATGCTCTTGCTCCAAGTGTTATCGTTCGTGCACCAGTTTCTAAGGGGATGGGCTTCTCTGAAATAGGTTATCTTATAGCAAGTGCATATGAGAGGGTGTGTATCGACTTGACGAGGTATGAGTTTCCATAAATATTTTTTCCTCTACGCATTCCCCCGCCTGAAGATCAATTCGGCTGCATCATGTGTATTGGGCACCTTAGATCACGCCATTTTGTTCAAGTTTATTTGAAACCGGGTTGTCATATACCAGCTATATTTGTGGAATGGACGACACATCATAAAAAAGAGGCAGAAACTTGGCCGGATCACATTTTAGAAAGGATGGTAGAGTTCACCAATTTGATGGAGCTTGAGAGAGAATCAAATAGGGAGAAGTCGAAGAAAGAACCATTTTTAGATTTAAGCGGTGAAAATTCGTTCGGTGCATTTTAGAATGTAATCGAACCATTTTTTTAATGTATTGTCATACACATTGTAAAATCTATATGTTTCAATACATATATAACATATTATCTATATTTTAGTTTTACAATTGTTTACTTTTTCATGCACTTTTGTATACAATAATGAAATTGTATTTTGGCTCTGTATAATTCGAAAGTGCACTTTCGAATTAAACCTTCAATTTAAAAAAAAAAACACAAGGCTTATTTCAGATATGAACTTCCGAATTCACCTCTTATTTTTATTAAAAATCATGGTGTCTTCGGATGTGTATGTCTGAAAACCCCTAATTTTGATAAAAATAAGGGAAATTCAGAAGTGCATATCTGAAATATGTCCTGATAAGATTTTTTTAGTCCATATTACTCCAAAAAGACTATAAATTAGGTCTTTCATTCTATTTCTTTATCCATCACATATCACAACAAGTAATGACGTAAACATATCCACATCTTACATTTATCTACTTCAATGGTGCGCAGTCACCACTTCAATTCAGGTCCTTTTATGAACATCATACTCATCTATTTAACATTAGAAAGTTAAAGTGTAAAATCCAACTATAGATTCTAAATGAAGACAACTACATTCTCTCTCACTCAAACACGTGATGGTAGGGCCTTCTTAGTAGTTAGCCTATAGTATTAAAAGACTAACTAACTAGTCAAATTCAATATCATGTTTTATCATCATGAATATGAATAGTCCTATCAACTGATTCATTGATAAAGAAAACTACTACTAGTTAACTACATAAAAAAGTATCACTATAGAAACTGAATAACACTGGTTTAGAGTTGTTCAAAGTTTCTATTCATTAGTACCATGATATATTATTACTATTAGTATTATAAAAGTAAACAAAACAGTAAAAAGGAATTATCTAATCAATCAAATCAGAAAAAAAGAAGAAAGGAATGTAATGTACTACTGCAAAAGTAGATTAGAATCAAGGGTGGCTTGACAACATATATCTTTCTGTGAATTCATGCTGTTGCAAAGACACTCGTGCCATAACTTTATTTATTGTTGTCAAAAGTTTAGACAAACTAGCTCAAAAGAAGGATCAAATCATATCATCAATATGCATCTCACACAAGTAACTTTCCATTGTGATAGTGATATCAGAGAAACTTTTTTCAAATCAACATATTGTATGTAACATATTTAGTAATAATTTCATTAGAAAACAGCATTAAAAAAAGCTTACTTACTAAAGTTACTTGAAAAAGATAAACAAAAAAAGTACTAGTACTACTATTACTACTACTGCATGCAATGCAATGCAATACAAAATAATGCAAGTGTATGAAAATGCAACTCATATAGATATAGCTCAAAAGAGAGGGTAACCAAAATCAAGTGATGGAGAATAGTTAGTTGAAGAAGAAGCTTGATCATTGAGTATTCCATAGCTTGGACTTAGGTTTTCAATGATGGGATAATTTGGAAACATCAATGTATCCATATCCATGCATTCATGTTCAACTGTTAATGGATTGTTGTTGAATATAGCTGAAAGTTCATTAGAATTCCAATCTAAGAACCCTTCACTTGGACAATAAGAAAACTCTGAAAAACCAGTGACCCTTGTTGGCATTTCTTGAGAAAATGAAGGGATGCCAAAATGTGATTGAATTTGACCCTCCATGGAAAATTTGTTGCTATCACCAACTTTTTCATCACTTGAAGCAGTACTAACATTGCTGTTTCTGAAACAGTTATCAGGAACTATGCATTCAAGATAGCCAGAGTTAGAGTCATTGGAAAAGAAGAAACTATCATCATGATTTTTGGATGATTCATATGTTGTTTTTTCATGATCAAAAGTAGTCATGATCATGTTTTGATCTTTTCCAGAGGTGAGTGAAGTGTTGTTTAGTTGAGAAAAAGTAGTATTTTGATTGGTTTGAGTAGTGTTGGTGAGTAACTGTGAAGCTGGTAAGAGAGTTTGAAGATCAATAGGAGAAGAAACAAGAGTGTGAAAGTTGATAGTATCAGTGTAAATGAAATTAGTTCTAGCTTGATTTCCTTTCATGGAAATGGCAGCTCTATCATAAGCAAGAGCAGCTTCTTGAGCAGTATCAAAAGTACCAAGCCAGTGTCTTTCTTTGGTTGTAGGGTCTCTAATTTCAGCAGCATATCTACCCCAAGGTCTTCTTCTAACACCAAGAAACCTTCCTGGTTCGGTTTGTTTCCTTCTACCTCTTTTTTCACTACTAGGTAATGTGTTGGTGTTTCTTTGAAGTAGTGACAGACACATTTGTGTTTGATTTGTTTCATGATATGCTTTCAAAGATGAATCTGATGTTGGTTTTTTGGAGGTTGACATGGCTGAGAAAATGGCAAAGAAAATATGGAGTGATATGAAGCTGCAGAAGGTAACAAAGTTCTGTTATGATGAATGAATGGTAGAAGATTTGATTTTGAAGGGTCTTTTAAAGACAATGACTCCTACACTTTAATATATATAAAATTAAGTTAGGACCAATTAGGTATTTTTACTTGTCAAATTTAAAATTATTTAGATGCAAATGTGAGTGATTAAATTTTATAAATATTAGAATCTATAAGAAAGATGATACATATATCTAAAACTTTTATATAATATAAATTGTAATATTAACATTGAAATTTTGAATGCATTCAAATGATAATACATAACAATTATGTAGTTTTATACATAGACTTTGGGTACTTCTAAATTTATAATGATAATTAAAAATCATAAGTATAGACTATACTGGGAGTGGTAAAATGAGTTTCTATTTCATCCTTAACTTATCTTAAAGCTGGAAAAAGAAATTGAGTCGACAACTCTCACAAGTAAAAATAGACATAAAAATTTAATCCGTTTTATTAAGATGGTAGATTTGCGAATTTGTCCACTTATTTTTTTAATTAATTTTTAATTTTTTTATAAATTTTATTTTATATTTCAATTTTATTTTCATTTATTTTATAGAATAATTTTTTATAAAACATATTTTTAATAAATTTTAGTTTAAAAATAATATATATATTCACAAATAAATATATAAAATAAAATTATCATTAATTGAAATTATTATAATTAACTTAAAAAATGACGTACTTAAAAAAGGGACGGATTAAACTAATAGACATGCAAATTTTGACAAGCAGTAAATTTTGACGGAATGAATTTTAATTCCGTGACGAATTTTGACGGATAATTTATCCAAAATCACAATTTTATCTATTATTTTTTTATTGGATATACTGACCAGAATTATGGATCACGGTTTATTTTACCACTCATAAATGTCGCAAAATTTCTTTATATGTAAAACTTAGGATAAATTAATACATAATTCAAATTAAAGGAGATGCTTGCGTAATTTTATCATATTTTAATTTTACTTGAAGTGAGTGTGATTTTCTATAAATATTATATATTTTTAAGATGTCATTGTTTGAAAGACCATAGTCTACTTTCCACCCACTTTTAATTAAAATCTTTCTTTATCTTATTTCCTTTAAATCACTAGCTCTTGATATGATATTTACTTAAGGCTCAATACTTAATAGTGAAAATAAAGATTCCCCTTCACTTGTCAAGTTACTTAAAATGTGCTCTACACAACTACACTTGTGTGTTCATATTTCTTTGCAACAATCACTTTCTTTAATTCATAGTTCCAATGACACTCTAAAAATGTATTTTCTATATCAATATTAGAATGAGCACATAGTAATATTTTTAACCAAATGAATAATGTCAAGTTTATTGATCCAATTATTGCATCATGTACATATACAATGTATTGGGATTTGATAAGGATTTATCAAATTAAATCTCTATACATATCACAATTCACGTGTATAGGCCAGCTAATCAATTAACTACCTGGAATTGACCTTGTCAACTCTATTGTGCTTTTACCAATAACGATGATAAATACATTTTGAAAAAAATGCATACTTATTCTTATATTATATGCATATTACAAACATCAATTCTAATAAATATTGACCTAGTAATTAAGGTATGTTTATTTTTGAAGAACTTTCCTATAGGTGGTTGAATGATTGGTAAAACTGAAACCTTATTATGGAGGAATCAATAATCCAAAGGCACAAAACCAGAAAAAGAAAAAACAAGTAAGTAGTTTTGTCTACATACTCCTAGAGAGTCTCAAAACATTTGAAATTAGAGGTATTATAATTTCAGCTTCACACTCACTAGTACATGTGAATCCGCATTTTATGCAAAAATAATGAATCAATTACATCTTAATCTCTTGTTTTCTTCATGATTTTCAAAGGGAGCAGTTAATATTATCTCTAACTGCACGCAAAATTATCTAACAATTTTGGATACATGTATGAGCTTTTCCTGTCTTGTGTCACGGAAACTACCACACATTAGAGTATAAAAACTAATAAGTCCTATTTTGAAGGACCCACAAGATAAATATATACTAGTTTGTGTCCTCAAAAGTTAATTTTTTTTTTTAAAAAAGATATATAAAAGAGATATCACAAGTTCAAATTTATGTTCCAATAGTTTGTGTTTTGCATAATTGTTAACTAAGATGAATTTATTTCTCGATCAAGTCAGCTGAATTAAAAAGATAATATATACGTTATCAAAATACTCCTTATAAGTTATAAATTTTTTTAAAATTTATTGAATAATTAGTGTATCTGATACATAATAATTACTAAATATATTATTTATTTAATCAATGTTAAATTATTATTATTATTTATAAATGTCTCTTGAAGATGTATGAATTTATTTGTACCAAAATGATAATAGCATTTGGCTATAGTAATGTTTTTGTTTGTACAGATTTTAATCAAATTTTGTTGGGTACTATGTTCTAGACATGGTAACTTTTGTGAAGTGAATAAAATGGGAGATAACATAAAATTGATGGGGAAAAAATGATTACACAGCTCGTGTAATATTGTGCTTTTTGGTTAATCACCTTTACTGTTTCTGATCTCCAGAAGCCATTATAAAAAAGCTGTAGTCAAAAGTTCAATAAAAAGGTTAAAGGACACTTGCAAATTGAATTAGACTAAACCAACTCACAAAATTAAAGCATAGAGAGGGACACATAGGATGGAAATGTATAATTTTTCTCTCTTAATTGGCCTACAATCACATGCCTATATTGCATTGGAAATAGCACAATACAATCATAGATTTTTATGGAATGGGTCAAACCATTATACTACTTTACTCCAAGAAAACAAATCAAAATTTGTATTTTGTTAGAGAAATGGCTATTTTGATACTAAAACATATATTACTTTTTACGAATTCGATGTACAATGATATTTATAATTTTGACTTTTTGTAAGTTTTTTTCTTTAAAATAAATTTAGTTAAGAATTGGTTTGGTAAAATCTAAAAAAAAAGAGTTTTTAGTTTTTAAATTCATATTAATGAAAAAACTATATTTGTTAAATGTCTTTTAATTTCTAATTTGGAAATTTTTTATTAATTTTTAGTTTTTTTTCCAAAAATTATTTGAAATAGCTTTTGAATTTTGAATTTTGAATTTGTGACTTTTTCTTTCATTTATATTTTTATTATTTTAACAAAAATCATTATTATCTTTTATTGTACTATCTTATATATGTATTTATTTATTTATTTACGTCAATTTACAAGATGAAAGATGATGCAATGTTTGATATTTTTAAATAACATATAAATTATATAATAAATTTTGAAATAATAATAATTCTCAAGTTACTGAAATGTTAGAAGAGACTCGATGAGATTAACAAAGACGAAATAATTCGGAATATCATTGTTGATTTATTTCGGATTAATATGATTGAATTCAAAATTATGATGTTGTTATTTAATATATTTCAGTTAAATTTTATTATAAAATTTATATATATATATTTAATATATTTTGATGCTATCTTTAACTTTTTTTTTATATATTAAAGTTGTTTTTGTGTGTTTTTATTAATATATTTATTTTTATTGAACAAAAGTAATTTAATAATATAATATAATAAAATAATGAATAGTTAATTTTTAATTAAAATATTTTTTTATGTTATTTTATATCTATCAGTTAGTAAAATGGATAATTTATCAAATATTTATGTTAACTTATCAATTATCAATTATCAATTATCATTCATTAATTATAAGTTATCATTTATCAACTATCAACTACAACTAAAAATTAGTTTTATAAAATAGAACCTAACACAATATATATATATGATTAATGTGTCTTGACATTAAAAATTGAGAAAATAAAATTAATTAATTAAACATAATAAATTAGTTAATATATATTATAAGTTATTAAATGCCGAGACATTAAAAAAAAATTGTCTTATGTAATCAATCAATTGTGATTAATGATATGTATAACATTTATTAATAGGTATCATAATTTAGTTAATGATTTTTAAATATAAAACACGTTTTAAATAATAAAATAAAAGATTAATAAAATATAAAAATTGATTAATATATTTTATGATTTAATGTAAAAAATTGATTAATATTATATATTTTATTGATTAATGAAATGGTGAAAGTGGTTAATAAATCATAAACAAAATAAATAATTAATTACACTAGTTAATAACATAATCTTATATTTATGTTACAAAAAAATTTAAATAAAATTTAAAAAATAATTATTTTATTTTAAAAAAATTTGTGAAAATAAATTCATCGTATTAATAAGGCAAACAATATATGGTGTCAAAATTGGATGTAAATTATAGTATTACATAATATACCTAATTTTGTTAATAAAAATTTTATGTAGGTTTGTGAAATAGAACGACACAACACGATATTTGATATTTAATAAGGCAAACAATAGCATGGATAGGTTTGCTAGGTCAAAGTTGCTTATTTGTTTCAAATTATATTTTTAGGAGAAGAAACGATATTTGATATTTAAATTTGAATGTTAGAAAAATGATAAATGTAATTTTTAAGTGTAATAGTGTTTTATTAGAATCGTAGAAATATATGAAATGAAACATATGAAAAAGATAGAAACATTGATATGTTTACTATAAAATATTATACAATATTAAATATGAGGTGTTCAAATATCACTTCTCTTTTAGGAGTTCCACCAACACTTCCTCTATTTTATGTTGTATATAATATTTAAAATTTAACGTTTTTTATTTGAAATTATTTTTTGTTTGGTTAAAAATTAGGAATTATAATTAAGTTTTATTATTTACAATGTATTGTAGGTGTAATCACTACAAAAAAAAAACTCTCATTTGCGACGTGAATTTCACGTCACAACATAAAAATTCACGTCACAATCAATTATTAGCGACGTGAAGGATCATGTG